AGTTAACACTAAAACTACCGAACACTTCGATTGACTTTTGAAAATTTCGCTATAGAAACTCCAAGAGTGCATCTGTTCAGACTTTAATTGATTTACAATTCAATTTGCGTAGTGCTAAATGAATCTCTTTAACAATTTCTCAGAGAAACATTTGTTACTTTTCTAATAATTGCAAAAGGAAGACATCAGGCATGGGTCATTTGACCCCTCTGGTAGTTTTAGTGTTAATGACACTAGTCTACATAATTTAACTTCTTTTCATCACGAAAGGTTTAATGTGAGTGATCTTAGTATTTCCTATGCTGAATTCGAAAATCCATTTTGAAGAAGAGCTCAATTTTTTAACTTTGAACATTCGTTGTGCCTTGATTATTTATGTAAATTTTAATAACATTATAAGTATTTCAACATATTTAAACAATGGTACCTGAAGCGCGGATATTTTTCAATTTATCTTAAAAACTAAGCGTGTTTAGGAGACAATCCAGTTTCAGCGTACGATAGAGCAGACAGATATCTACCCTGCCAAATCCGTTGAAAAAAGTACCGTGGCATCATTTCGTTTTCAATTGAGAATGAAAAACAGTCGCGTGAAACATAAGATGCCCACAGTGATGCTCAATGTCAACGCGTGTCGCCCCTGATGCGCAGTGCTGCCGCAGCTAACCGGTTTATGTATGTAAGCAAGGAAATGTGTTCATTTACTTTACTTATATAGGTATTTGTATTACCTACGTATTCATATTCTTTTATTACTTATATATTATTATGCAAAGAACTGCTTGATCAACCTTACTAATCCGAAATTAATGTCTATACCTTATAAGGTTTCACTTTCTGTTGTACAAGGTTTGATGTGTAATTATGATAACACTACCTAAGATCTTTTTAATGTAATTTAAATACATTATAATTCGTATGGTGTTGTATACTTAAAAATTGCAGTATACCTAAAGAGCTACATCACTATGAACTTAATGAAACAAAAGACAATTTTTTACAAGGTCGAATTCAATATGTTTTACATTTTTATAATAGTGTTGGTAATAATTGTCAGCAAACCCGGAACCAAAACAAGAATACCGTGAAAAAGCACGAAAATAGAAAACGCATAAATAACACTATACACATTATTAAATATTTATATAATACGTGACACTAAAAATTCTTAGATAGTGTTATCGAAATTACCACTGAAACCTTGTATAGAGTAAAGTGTAGAGTAAACGTGCATAAACCTACCGTTGAACTGTTACTATGGAACTAATATATAATTAGTCATTCGATCAATTGATTTTTTATTGAACGGTGCGAATTTCACGGATATAGGACAGCGCTGTGCACGCCGCACCCACTCGGCTCCACAAACATCCCGGTAATTGTATTAGATTACCGCCGGCAACCATCTTCTCTTCTCGACTGATTGAAATGATTTCAATTGAACCCGGCCGCGGGGCAAAGCGAGTTCGGTTCCAATTTTCTTCGCGTGCGCGGTATCGGGAGAGTTTTCCATGCTCGCGACGCATCCGAACGTTTTTTCTTTCTTTCCCCCGATATTTCAAAGGCACTAATTGTTTTTCTAACGTCGTCAACACTGATTGCGTAACGGCGGAACACGAACATTGCACTTCCCTTCTAACATTTTTATTCCCGCGACATATTGTTCGCGTCAGTTAATTTTCATATTATGCAAGCCGAGGGAAAAAAAAGTTGACGAAACAGACGGCACGATCATTAAACGAACGGACGTCTAAGATCCTAATATCCAGGTAGCATATCTTTTTTTTCTACGGTTCCATTTATCGGACACTCGTAAAATGCTAATCGAAAAACGCAATTATATCGATGATTACCAATCTCGAAATGAGACTATTCCAGCATTCGTGTACTCAATGGAGAATAACAATTCTGTTTACACATTACGGGCCAGGAATTTTATTGTTAATTTTACTCAGTGGACACTTGTTCTGAGTATACTGAGAAATATACTTATATCTCTGTCGAACGGGTAGAAAAAAAGGTTTTACATAAACGTTAAAAACACGAGAATTCTCGCGATCCGTCCGTAATGTGTTAACCCTTTGCACTCGATTTATATTCAATGTTGTCGGGTGTAAGCTGGTATTTATTTTTACGGAAGTGAATTAGAGTAATTTACAGTGGTAGGATTCAACGTTTTGTATTCATTTTATTCATTATTATTATAGTAAGATTTTAGTTCCATAATCTTTTACAATGTGGTACCTTTTTAAAATGCCACAAATAAAGTATAACGAATCTGTATTGTCGTTACCAGCGTGAAATACGAGTGAAAAAGGTTAAGCGATAACACCATAGTACAAACGATAGTTTAAGAACTATTAACACGTTGACTGTCAACTAGATGCGCATCAAAATTCCTACGCGTTCGGAACAGTTTCTTTTAACGCTCTGAAGCTGATCTTGCAATTTATCGGCAACTCCAAGCAATTTCTGTAGTACCCCTGGCGAAAATTAAGGAAGGTTATGACATATTTTTTAATTATCATGATAGAATTATGGTATAACAAATGGTTACGTCATAACATTTCTTACATCTTTTATTTTCCTTCTCAGAAGAAACTTCGCATGTGTAGCGAATACAATATTCTTAGGATAGTTTTCAAATTTGTTCATTAAAATATTTAATGCTATAAATAACGCCGTAGAGGAGCCTACAGAGTGCAAAGGGTTCATAAATCAGAAACCGAAAAATCAAGACTCTTCGTAATGGTTTCTCTGCTTATACCTCGTACCAACAAAATTCAGTTCATTTGTCGCTAAGGAAACTAATCGTCAAATCTACGTAAACAATTGTGTCATCGAAATTCAAGTGACGCGGTCGAAGTGGTAACACTAGAACTACCGGATGAGTCACAACGACCGATTCCTAATTTCATTTTTTCCAGTTATTCAACAGATAACAGATGTTTCTCTGAAAGAGTACTGGAGAAACTGGTTTAGCAATACACAAACTGAATTGTAAAACGAATGAAGTCTCAATAATTGCACTGTTGAGGTTCCTACAGAACAACTTCAAAAAGACAATTGAACTGCTCGGTAGTTCTAGTGTTAATAAATAATACACCTGATTTGAAGCAACAAGTTTGGCGCGAGCAGATCCGTTCGTTCAGTTCGAAATTTTTTGTTCGCGTTCCTCGAGACCTTAAAAGCGGATATCAGACTTTCAATCTGGAATGTATAATTACTCGCTTTTTGCAAGATCAGTGGACAATATTAATTAATATTTTTTCTATGTTACATGATTTTTTATCGAGATAAATGAAGTTCCGCGAATAAAACCGGTTGAGAACCATTAATTTAATTGGCACAGTTGTCACTACAGTAATTTCTGTCTAGAGTAGCGTTACATATTTCCGTTGCAGATAGCATTATCGCGCGTTTAAACGTTCCCCGTGCGTCAAGATTAGGCGTCCTTGGGGCGAGGATAATCTCCGAGAGAAAGAGAATTACGCGAAGAAGACCGTGAAAGGATCGTTGCGTCGGCTCAGTTGAACCCGAACGCTCGACACGCGAGGCGTTGTAATTATTTTCGAACGTCGGCGAAAAACACACGAGTTAATTAACGACCACCGTGTCGTTTCAACGAATAACGTGACACCCTAGTAAGTGTCCATTGATAAACATGATTATTCGGTTAACTACTAAAGAACAGTTTCAAGAGCTTCGCGAATATCAATAGCTTAGACTGCGGAAACTCATGCAAAATTGGTAAGGCGAACTCAATGAATCAGAAATTCAAATGAAAATTACCTTTGATTTACGCATGAGGTGATACGATTAACGCGAAATATATGATGAACGTTTTTTCCGTTCTTTCTTTCTTCTAAAGTTCTATTCGAATTTAACCGCGGCGCAACATTTTCCTGTGTTACGCGCGAATGTTTTTTCCGCGCGAAAATTTGTTTACTCGCCGTTCGCACGAACGCTTCAAGGTGCACCAAGAGAGACCTGAATAACGGGCGAAAAAAAAAAATTCACTTGTTGAATAATCGAAAAGTATTTACGTCTCTTTGCGCGACCGGCATGTATACATTAAAACATGTCGGAAAAATATGCGCGAGATATATAGTATGTGCGACCTGACCCGCGATGGTTACGAGAAATCGTAAGAGTTCTACCTATAATACATTAGCATCTATTTAAGGCGATAAGTTCAATTTTTTCCCCTCCATCTGTCCGTTTAACATCATCGTACAATTTCGATTATATCTATGTACAGATTGGAGGATTTTTTCTGGCAAGAGGAAAGTTCACGGACAGTCACGCGATCATCGCGTAACGCTGATACATAATATTGCTCACGAGAGTCGTTTAATCGTTGCGAAATGATGCGAAGAAAAAAAGCGAATTACAACTGTACATGACGCAACGAGATTTCCCTTTCATTAAGGAATCTACTCCACTTGACATTGACAGCGGAGACAACTGATCGACAGGCACTTTACACGATTTTCGAATTGCAATAAATACATAATTTAGAATACTTTTGTTTACCGTTGTTTATGTGAATTTTAAGCGTCGGTGTTTCTTCTGAAAGGTGAAGACATAGCGCACGAAACGAAAATAAAAGAAATACGTCGTGCTTTCTTTTATGTAAATGAATAAACAAAGATATAATTATTAGGTCGTGTATTATGAAATGTTAGATATTTTATGGGAAAAAGGAAACCTTATTTGATGTTTTAAATGACATTTATTTGATCAAAATATATACCATTCGATTCGATACACTTCTGCCAACGTGTTTTTAATGAACATATTCAATTTCTCGCAAAATTCTGCGGCTCATTTTGCGAATAAATACCACCGAAACGAAATTTTGCTGCATTGTTCTTTCATTCACGGTTTTGTCCACAAATGCTTTGTTTATATTTTGGACCGGTTTTGCAGCATTATTTCCACGTTTGAATTCACATAAGACAATTACACGAACTTTGCCGGTATCCATGTTTTCGAGAAACGACGCAGGAAATAGTTATTATGCACAGTTCGGAAAAACTTTTCTGCAGAAAGTTACTCTGAACAAAAATAAAGGAATAAAAACAGGAGTACAAAGATTTACGTATTAAAAGATCCGACATTTCATATTGCACGATCCAATACATGTAATAACATAAAAGAAAAATCAATAATTTTTCTCCGCGGAAATATTCAATTCGCATTTAGAACAAGTTTTTGCGCTTGTTGTTTTGCATCTTGCTGGCGAGTAGTCGGCACAATGGCCCCATTGGTGAGACGTTAGATACGAATTAGTAGAATCATCCGATGCAAGATACTGGATAATATGGTCTGACCGCGTCACATTGAAAACATCAGAATTTATTTATGTAAATCGAGAACCAATGACGCAACTCACGTGTGCAACCGTGACCACGGAAACGTGTAAAGATTTTTACACTGCATATTCATTACGTACTTCCAGTTAAAACGTACATCAACGATTTTAATAAAACATCGTTGCTGGCGTGTATTACACATTAGTGTAAATACCGAGGGCAGCATCGAATGTTCCGATAATTATATTTAATCACTGAACCTTCGCGTAACTCATATAATTTCCTTACTTTCGTATTCGTCGGAGAACTTTTTACCGGGTCGTAAAGAGGTTATTAAGTATTAGGTTACGTACGTTTACCGATCGTCCGATTGACCTAAACATTTGTAAATCTACAGTATACAGCGGATTTCTGTCGCTGTTACGAGTGTACTCATTTGCTTTTTTAAACGAGTTCCCTTGTTTTTGCTCGTTTCGCTTGAAACTCGTATATTACGTCGAGATCAGGAGACCAAATTCCTGAATTTTATTTTTTCTTTCAAATATCCGAGTGTCTCGAAGAATCGCGGCTAATCGAAGTACACTGAAGTAGAACCGTTGCAAAAAGAGATAATAACGGTGGACAATTCGATCTACAACTGTAACATGTGATTCCATTACTTTGAGAAGCCGAGGTTAATTTTCCGACGATTTTTATTCCACTTTATTTGCAAGATAACGCGATAACGTTGATTGATTTATTGAACTGTAATTAACATTTATATTGGGCAAGTGTAAATCACCACCTACTCGAAATCTCTATTTGCCAATGGTACTTATGATAAAAATATGGGTTAATTACACTTTTGGCGTTTGTTATCGCCAATGTGACTTATTGAACGTGTTAGTGCAATAAATGAAATTGCATTATTATAAGCAGAATATAGAGAAACCTATAACGGAAACAGTTGAGAATTCGTATCGCTTTTTAATCGAATATTGTATGGTACACACAATAAAAATTGTTTTTTTCAGAATTTCATTCGAGGGAAGCCGATATTTAGCAAAACATAGACATTACATTAAGAAAATCGAGTTTCTTGTAACTTTTTGTAAGAAACTATAGAATATTTGGAAAACCTGATACATTATAACCTCACATTTTTTTACTGTGTTTCTAGTTTGCCGATCATACACATTCTGAAACTTTTAACGTTATATTTATTGTTTATTATTCGCTGAATAATATGCAATTACAACTGGTCGTAAGATCGATTTCCTTACCAATGAACTATTATTAGTATTATTTGGAGAAAAAATCGTGCCCTTCGCTAACACACTCTAGCGGTGGGCCCACCATGTTTGAAACAAGCGTCTGCTTCTGCGAAGCCACGAGCCAGTCGTCACGACAATATAGAAGTAAACACAGCTAGCCTTGAAATAACACGAGGTTTATCTAAAACGACCAATTCGTCGTTTCCAACGCGATTTCGAATAGGCCTGATAAAGGGTTCTGCTGATATGGGAACAGATAACGAAAGTCGTATATTTCATCTTCCGCAATAATTCAACCTTCAGAGAGTCCAACCGATTTCCTACGCATGTGGACGAACGATTTCCTAATTCATTAATCGAACGGTTCTTTTATAAATGGTATTAAAAACAATTCATATTATAATAGGAATATTACAACAAAACGAGATCGGAGAATTCTCTAGTAAAGGGATAAGAAAAAGTAGAATAATCACAGGATATAGAAAATATATATATACCGTCTTCGAAGAACGTTTTAGAATTATAATATTCAGGTGAATAGATTGAATGTTAAGTTTTTTTTTAACATCTAAGTTGGGTATGTGCTTAACTAATACATATTACTACATTAACCATTTTACATAATTCATATTATAACCGACAGAGATGTTAATTGCGAATCGTATACACACACTGGATCATTATGAATATAATGGATTATCATCATCGACGTACAAAGCGTGCGTATGTATATATATATACATGTGTACATGTAATAGCAGTAGAGAAAGTGTGATATAATCTTTAATCACAATCCACGTGGCTAACCTTCGTATATAAGGTATCAAGTTTATCATGCGCGGCATCGTTTATTTAAGACCCACGAGTCAAATTATTCCATCGGCCGAAAAAAATATGGTAAGAGAAAGAGCTAGCCACTCAGATCACCGCTCGGTTCACGAGTCGATCACGTGGCGTTCGACGCAAGTAGATGCGCACCGAACAAAAATCGCGAAGATTAATCTACGAAAACGTGTTGAATTTGTACACATGGTTGCGGATAAAAGAACCGTATTTTTGAAAGTTTGCGCAACATTTGTTTCACAATAAATCTCATTTACAATATATTGTAATTCGATCGAGTACAGTTGAACGCTAATTATCGCATTCACGTTGCTATCAGGATTGAGAGGTTAACATTTAAAAAGGAAAACACTTTTTTTACCCGTAAGTGAGAGACAGAATAAAAAAGAAATGTTATTTTTATATTAATGTTATTTACAGAAGACACTGATTAAATAAACGAAGCACGTGCGATGCTAATTGAATTTTTAGAATCGTTACGAATTAATAGGGTTCATTGAATATTCGAAAAACGTTCGCGACGTTCACTATTTCATATTTAATTTTGGTTCCTAATCGAACCGTTTTAAGGCCTTCCAAGACGTTCTTTACAGCGATAGAGCGCTAAGCGAACTAGTAGTCCTTCAACTTGAAATGTTAATAGAGATTAAACAAGTCTTCACCTTCGCAGTGTCTGAAGCACCTGCAAAGTGAATTATTCAAACGTGCGTTCTAGAATAGGTGATGCTGAGAACGTTCAACGGAAAGAAAGCTAATGCACTTATTGTCATTGGAGAATGTCATTGGAAAAACAACTGTGGATTATATATATATACAAATATTATAAACATATACAAATATATATATATATGTACATTTCAATATTTGTATATTTTACATACAAAACATAGAAACGAAAGCAACGACCAAAATAGGATACCAGATATATTAACGGACAAAATAAGCAACAATAATGACAGCGATTTACACTTAAAAAGCAATTTGTCGATTAGAGTCTGAAACGACGTAAATAAACTACTGCGGGCTGACTACGAAAGTGCAGAGAGCATGCGACGCAGTAGTAGAAGTTTACACGAGTCAGACGTAAAACGTTTTTCAAGATTGCTTGCGCAGGTCTCTTAGAGGCGAGCAAAATAAATTTACGTGGCGATGTTTGTTCTGATTAACACTTCATTATTACTAACGTAGCACACGACGTACTACCATTATGAGACATCAGAACAGTTGCTCTGTCTAGGTTGCCCGTACCTGTTATCACGAACCGAGATTAAAAAATTTGTTCACTTCCTATCCCAGACTTCCACACAACCGATTCCATTGCAAACGACATTGTCTTCTTTCGTAATTGTAGTTCCGCGAAGAACCGGCGACTTACGATTCGCCCTACAACACACGGCGTGTCAAAGGGAGAAAAATAAAAGCGACGTGTGAAAATTTCATTTCTACACGCCTCGATCATTATCGAAGTAACACGATCGCAGGAAACGGTTTCCCATGAAATAATCCAATCGCGATATACGACGTGTTTACGGTGCACGATACACGAACCTTTGAAAGAGTCAGAAATTTTAGTCAGTCTACCATGATGAATCATCCTATTTCCTCCTTTTCTCTTCTAATTTTCGTTTCTTAATGTAACCGAATTATTTCAATATTTCCCCATTTTTTACGCGAACCTTGTGAAAATAATAATTTTACACAGCCCGAATGAAATATATTGGATAGGCGCACCTGCGAACGATTCTACCGCTAAGTCGGTATCCAACGGATACAACCGACTCGTATTGACGACAGAGGCGATACCGTTGTCCTCAAGTTCACTCTATGGAACTGACATATACACGCCATAACACGATCACTCGTTACCAATGTTCAATGTCGCCCCTAACGGTCACCGATGATTCGAATCGCATCCTTAAACGTTCGTCGCGGGCCCGGGATCGGCAAAAATGTCGGCATTTTTTGGGCGTAAGATATTCGTCGAATGACTCACCTCGCACGTGAATACAATCCTGGCAAATGATTTGAAATTCGTTGGTCTCCTCTTGTCAACGAGAAATGTCCTGTGCTCCCGGCGGTTGTTGTACACAATGAAATTTTGTCTACAACGTGTAAACGGTGGATCTAACAAACCGACCTATAATTTCTATTTACTGGAGGGACAATGGAATGTGTATGTAATGGTACGGACTAAGGGAAATTATTTTCTCTGTTCGGTGTCTCTAGACGACGTGCGGGTTCCCTATTATCAATAACCGGCACAAGCGTCGCGAACACGTCGCAGAGAACTGGCTAGCGTCTAGCTGGCCAGCATCTCGTTATTATTGAATTGGACAGACCATGTGGTCTGACATCAGACCATGTGTTATTGACCAATGGGAGACCGAGTTTCCGGTACGCAAGCGCACTACGGATTGGACCGGCGTTCTCGTCTTCTGTCACGAATATTCCGCTTTTCCGTTGAATCGTGCCTACTCCTTCAGGCGACCGGCCCTACTCGTTCGATTCCGTCATCCATGGAATCTGTCGTGCAGATCAAACCGTGAACATGCAGTTGTCACATGTCGACCTTCCGCGTTTTTCTTTTTACATAACTTTGGCATTATCAGTTACGATAACTACCCGTGGAATCGTTCTTCGCTTGTAATAATTCGAAGCGCGCCAAGGATCGATACCCCTGTGGCAGTAACGTAATCTTGAACCCCGCGCACATTTGAGAAACGGTCAAAGTCATTTGTTCCTTCCTTTTTTTTAATAAAATATTCCGCATTGCTTGGAGAATGTTCCATCGAAATTTCTTGGTTCCATGATGTGTCGACTTTGTAACTGACATACATATAGGTTCACGTCGATACAAATCATTGAAGAAGGTTATAGGTTTTGTCAGTGAAAGTTTTTGTTTGTCCGTTATTGTTATTGTTAATAGGAATCTTCTTCGTATTGTTGTTGTATTTGTTGTTACTGTACTTTTTCCCGTTTCTTTTTTTGCAATTGGTATTAGCTTCACTTTATTCCGAACGGCATGATAATCCTAATGATGCATTATGAATTATGCACATCGAACTATTTTGCAGAAATTTAGCTTTTTATATAATCGTACTGTGATACACAAGAAATGTTTAATATAGTGTCGCTGTATCGGAGTGTTATAATCAAAAGTTTGGCCATGATGTCTATGGGGGTATCGTTGACTTATTCATTCGTAACGGGATAATCTCGTTTGATTTTCTTAAAGACGCGAAACCTGTTATAGTAAAGTTCCAAAAAGAATCTTTCGTTTTTTAATTTTTGCCTTTATGTAATTCTGTGTTGTGTGCTCCGACTGATCTCAATATCGAACAACGACCAATTGTATTCGATATAAAAAAGAAAAGGATGCGTTTACATGGAAATGGAAGAAATTTTGTATGAATAATTTATAACAGAATGATTGCAACCTAGTAAATAACATTTATATTGCGATCGTTTATAATTAACGAGTAGTATTAGTATAATTACTTTAGAAAAATTTCGCACCTTTACATTTGCAGTAAATGATCAGAACTTATAAATACATATGATACATACATATCATTTTTATTACACAAGAATTACACGCGCAGGAACTACATATTTGCGCGTTCTGAAACGCGAATGAATTAATCAGTCGAAAAAGGCGTAACTCGAGTTTTATATTATTATAATGGTAAGAAAAAAGTTGTTTGAAATTGAAATACGCATATTCTCCATGCCATTCCTATTGATAAATAGACAATTAAAAGTCATTAATACAATCATGGAAAATATTATTTGTAGCCATACAAAAAGCGGTAAGAGCATTATAAAATATTTACTGAAACGAATATTATTTTCTAACATTTTAGAGTATCGAAAATAATATTTTTACTGGAACATAAAAATAAAGATATATGAATTATGTAAATAACATGGTAAATCGATAGAACCGTTTCTATGTTATATATTACATAGATATGGGTATTTATTTGTGCAGGAATATTTATGTAAGAATCACCATTTTAGTTAATTTTATTTATTATTAATAAAATATATTCACGTTGATTAATGAAAACAATTACTTTTCAAATGAGATGATAGAAGGAAAGTAAATATATTGTAAATGCTCGATAACACATTATAGAGGTCTTTGCCACTTGTCATTTGCGCGCGAGCCTGTTGCCTGCGTACTGTATCACGTGAACCGAAGAAAGAAACATATAACCTGTGTAACTTCAGACTTAACGAGACTTTTGTGCTAACGGAGGCATCCTACTTGTCTCGTTCACAAAGACCGGGCTCATGAATAAAAACGGGCCGAATCGCAATTGTGCTAGCCCTAACTCGGCCTCTCACGTTGCTGAAGACGTTATCTGTTGCTGTCCGTCGCTTCCTCCGGTCACAACATATTCCCTTAACATGTTAACCGTGTCGTTTCTCGGTCACAGACCTCCCTATAAGCGCAATTAAAGATTCATTAAAACTATTAAAATCGACAGAAAACGTAGTTGAATATTGAAGTTGAAATTTGTTTAGCTTATCTTAATTAACATAGCTCATTCATCAATAGAAGAAAAGACGACATTTTAATTATTACACAATTCAATGATCAACTATTTTTTCATATTTATCTCGCAAACTCGGTAAGTATGGAAAATTGTTGAATCGCTAAGTTCGTGTACAAGACGAATTAATGCGATTGTACGCGTGTACTTACTTAATTGATAGAATAATGCGAGAAACGAGATTTCTTATCGACCCATGCCCGGAAGGCCAGACAACCTAATCGCCGCGATGAAAAATGAAGAAATCCAAACAAATTTTTTTTTATTTACTTATAAGGTTACATAAGGGTTACAATTAAGAAGGAGAGAAAAATAAATAATCGTTTGAACATAAATATGTATATCGTTTCAAAGAGAGAAAGAAAATACTTTTATTTGCGTTACGAATGTTATCATTATCAAATCTGGTAAAAGAGATAACAGGCCAAGCGTGGGAAATTTCTGTTTTGTCTCTTCTTCTCGTGGTCCATAAATTCTCGTTCGATTCATTACAAAGTAGATTTTCTTAATTTATGAACTTTGATCAATTCCGCGTCACCGGGATTGCTGGTATTTTACAATTTATTTAAATTGCGAAAATATTATGTGTATTTCTTATCTGAGCGCTATTAATGCTTATGCTTCTAAGATCCAAGTGTACCTGAATGTATAATGAAACGAAATTTTATAACGTTCAGATTAAAATACCATTAATGTTACACATTATTCAAGCAGTGAAATATAGTTATATTCCTTACCGACGTTACTTAACGAAATTATTCATGACTTCTTTCCTTTTCTCTTTTGCTTTTCGTTCGCTTCCTCCAATTGTTGCAACTCCAGTTCGTGCACGCGCTGTTTTTTACGATATATTGGGGTTTTTACAAGCCACGCTACAAAGTGTCAAGAGGACAGCGAATATTATTATTAGTTTTCCTTTAATTTTATTTTTTAAGTATTATTGCTTCTTTAATTGTCCAACCTGAAAATGCATCTTCTTCTTCTTTATAAACAGGATCTTTTGTGCTCAGCGCATTTATTAGTTCGACATGTGTTAAAGGATGAGTTCTTAATTGCACCATTCGTTTCGTGGTCATTATCTGATTAATGTAACAAAAACTAGTATATACAAATAAAATATTTATAATCGACAAAGAGATTATCGGAATATTTTGATACCTCGCTAATCGATGTTAATACGGTACCAATAGTGAATCCATCACAAAGTTTAGTCATGACAGACGTATCGAATTGTCTATTAATACCAGAATACTACAAGTAAAAAAAAACGTATAAAGATCTTTTTGTTAAACACTCATATAGAGAAGATATGGACAAATCTTAAGCTAATTGACGCAAATTTCTGACGTCAAAACAAGCACAAAAATTAGAAAATTTATTTTGAAATATTACTCTTGTAATGATCTGTTGTTTGAAAGTTATTAATATTTGAAAAAACAGGAATTTACGTCAACGGTCGCGAATGTGTTAATATTTAATACGTCAATGAAATCTGACTTTGTGTAACAAATCTTTCCATATGAGAGACATGCTTCCATAGTCTGGCCTGGGGATGTATATAACTTTATCATAAGTTTGATATAAAAGCTTCTGGTCTGCATCCCATGGAAAGTTTGTAGTTCCAATCAGAATTACTCTGTCTTCATTTGTAATGTTCTTTACCAACTTGGGTAAATCTTTTTTCAATCGTTTCGGGTCAGTTTTATCCGTTTTAGGAACTTTTTTAACAAATGGTTTTTCAGCCGCATCCATAAATATTACCGATGGTTGTAATAAACGTGACACCTTGATGCAAAAAAAAATAAAATGCATACATAACATTATGGATTATACTTAATAAAATACTAGAGCACCTTTGATATTAAGTGGATAAACATAATTAATCCTGACTTTCCAGGATATTTCCCTGCAATATTGGCTGGTGTAATATCAAATAATGTAGCACCAAGTTCAGTGCAAATTGCATTTACTAACATCTTTTTTCCACTTCCACGTGGACCAGCTATTAATACGGATCTTATCAGAGGTGTAAGTTCTCTAAGAGTACTGTTTCCCAGAGGAACTATACAGTATTCAGCTATTAAATGTCTTATGTCCCCTATGGATGTAATTTAAAAAAATTGAAACATCAACAAAGAGTAAAAAATGTCTCATATATTTCTTCAACTTGACATTAAATACTCAACCAATTGTTGGCAATGGGTCTTTCTCCTTCTCTCTTAAACTACTATTAGTAAAAGATTTTTCTCCTTTGAAATCTCTAAGTGCAACTTCTTTGTGAAGCTTAATAATGCCTTGTGTCAATAATTCTTCGAACAATGACTCTGTTGTTCGGTCAGGAGTCAAATCCTTTTCTTTCCTTTTCTTATTCTTCTTTCCACTACGACGAATACGTTTTTGAGTTTTTTTTGCACGTTTACCTTTCAACCCTTTGTCCCTGTCTAATGCATTTTGAAGGGCTTCAATATCACCTAAATGTAATTACAATTTTCAAACATGACCAATATACTTGAAAGTTACAATGCATATAAAATCCATACCCCTTAATTCTTGATCAACAATAACTCTAACTTCGTGTTCTACTTCTTCTGTTTTTTCTTTTTCTATCATATTTGTATATGGTAATTGTGCAACATTTGTAGATTCATCTTTAGATTTCCATACTTCTTGATATTCTTGATTAGCATGCATTAATTCTGATAAAAAATTGGATGGAATGGGCTTGAAACCTTGTTCTGTTTCTTCTTCTGACTGCTCGTTTTCACTATCCTTTTTTGCTTTTGATTTCTTAGATTTTTTAGACTCCTTTGATGACACCGCTGTAGATTTGCTCGTGGTACTTTCAGTTCCCTAAGTAGTATAGAATAATAAAAAAAACTGTAAACATAACAGTACTATAGCTGATAGTTTTACCTGTCTACTAAATATTATTCTGGACCCTCCACTTTCAGCGGATGGCAAATCAGGGATTTTTCCTGTTTGTTGAAAGTATGCATTTATCCAATTTCGAACTTCACTTCTGATATTCTCTTCTATTATAGCCCTCTTTTCCTTTTGAATCTGTTCTCTAGTCTCAATCAGTAAAGTTTCATATAATTCCTGATATTTACTTTGCTTCTCATATCTTTCTTGTCTAATTCTCTCGGCTTGCCTAGCAGTTTCAGTGATTTCTTGACTAGGTTGAAGCATACCTTTAAAAATACTATATAAATAATTTTATCATCCTTTCGTGTATACATTTTTATTACAGAAATATAATTACCAATCAACAACATTTCATCAAGACGTCGTTTTCGAATCTTCCTTCTGGTAACATATCCCCTCCACACTTTTTGAATCCTCATTGCAGCTGTTTTTTCACTCAACACTGCTTGAATATCCATTTCTGGTTTGATCGTTGATCTTTCTTTCATCTTGCGAATTTCTTTCATAAATTGAAACCTTAGCCGTCCCTGTCTCGCACGTTCGTGCGCCTTAAAAATTAAGATTAAATATTATCGATTCGATTCTGTCGTTATAATAATTTCTTTCAAACCGATAATTAATTGTTTGCAACATCGACACCTGTATAAGCCTAACAGCTTCCGATTCGCTCATTTGTTTTGGCAATATTACTTCATCCAGCACACCGATAGAACGCAAAGTACTTTCTATGAAGCATCGCCTTTCCTCAATCTCTTTTGAACGTTCCCGCCGAAAGTATCTGGGCAATTGAATTTCAATTTCTTGAGGAGTGACGTTTAACTTTATTAGAACGTCATCGAAATAACTGTATTCTGAAAGATCTATTTCGACCAGTTCGTGTTTCAATTCCAAAATTCTGCCAAGGCAGGAATCTAGTAATCGTCTAATTAATATTCGCTTTTGCGGCTGTATCACTTGGTCATAACATAATTCAAGCTTGTTAGAGATAATGATATACCTCACATACAGCTCCGTATGTATGTTACGAGCTTTTTTACGATCTCTTTGCGGCTTTGCGTTCTGCAAGTTCATGTCCGCTTGAAGTACTTCATCCAACGCTATTTGTGTGATTTTCCAAAGTTCGTCGTATGTCACGCTAGACATAATTAAAATTTCATTAAAAACAAACTATCGCGACTTAATGGCAAATTATATATCACAACTTATGGACAGTCAAGAATAGAACAAACGACAATCGGAACACTGGGTCTCTTTATTTTCGATATTCTAAGAATCGTTAATATCTTAGCAACCACGATGGAAGGCTAAATAGAAGGAATGTCCGCAGATCTTTATGTGAAACTACAGTACTAAGAAGTACTTTAAAAAGAAACGGAAATTTATCTGTTTCAGAGAACTGTAATAAATTTAAAATATGTAATACTATTAAATTTTACAGCCATTTTTACTGTTTTGCATTTCATAGAAAAATATGCGATATAATAATAATGATTCATGAAAATGTCCTTGGCATATTCGACAATAATAAACTAGTTTTAAAAATTCCATGTGAATCGAAAAGTGCTTTTTTCAATTTAAAAGTATCAGTTTGAAATGATTCCAATTATTATTTCATAATACAAATTCCATGAATATTTAACATGATCTTACATACAAAAATGCCATTCGAAATCACATTTTAACAATTCTTTTATAATAATAAACGACATCTAATGATATAAGAATGAAATAAATGAACAACGGCAAATATAAACAAACTTTTTAAATTATTTACGTTTAATATTAAGTAGATACCTTGAACTTAATGTTACGATATCTAATATTAACTCAAGTAGAAATTGGCAAAAAAGCAGGAAATATCATATAAAATATATAACATGTTGTTCTAGACAGAATTTGTCCCCTATTTTCGAATGAAAGTAAAATCAGATCGCGCGTTGATCGTAGCATGCGAGAGGGAGTTCAATGCAACCCGGCTATTCTTGTAACATGCTTCGGAGCGTTCCGGTTGCCTGTTTCAAAACGTCATCCTGGGTGATCGTTTGTTCGCGAAAATAATTCTTGTAAATACGGCTCACCACCGGCCAAAGGTGGTGATGAGAAAAAAGTATTCGCAGTAATGGCGTTAGCATTGGAGCAGTTTGTAAATAATGTGCAGACGCTTTCGAAACAAGGTACGACAGATGCTCAGACCCTTCCTTGTATTCCCATTGAACATAACCTCTAATTATAATTGTAAAAGATTTTTCATTGGAACGTTTGTACCCTTTCGAAATAAACACTTTCTTCACGAAAGAAAACTACAAGTTTACTTAGAATTTATTCTACGCATTGCTACGACCTTTTGTTAATTAATTATTATCGAATAATGCAAAATAAATAAGTTACATTTTGCAGGTAATTTTCGAGAGCTATGTGAGATAATGATTAAAAATGTAGATGTTTTAATGGAGAATGGACAGCACTTAGATAACGTTCTGGAAACGTTAGATCTGCAGCAACACTCATTAGGTATTTTGGTAGTGTTGTGTGTAAAATTCTCATTGCCTAATCCTAATGGTGTGAACACTGCCAATGCTTATAGACCATTATTTAATCAGGTTCAGGAATTTATTATTGGTTGTAATGGAGAACAAGTTAGATTTGCTCCAGACACATGTAAGTCTTTATTTGTTTTTCCACATCGAAAAGTCTTAAATTGTTTATACAGAAATTATTTTATAGATGCAGAACTATGTCATCTTTTCACTGAAAAATTAGTTCAATTGCAAATGCCATTGCACGGTATTGACTTATTGTGCCGAGCGATAAGTAAAATACAATTATTTGATAGTCAGCTGACTTCAATACACGCTGATCTTTGCCAACTATGTCTTCTGTCAAAGTGTTTCAAACCGGCGCTTGAATTTCTTGATATAGATATCACTGGTATCGGTCAAGAAGGAGGACAATTTGATTCAAAGCATTTTTTGCTCTATTATTATTACGGTGGAATAATATATACAGCTTTGAAGAATTATAATAGAGCATTGTACTTTTTTGAGGTGTGTGTAACAACACCTGCTATGGTAGTTAGTTACATTATGTTAGAGGCTTATAAAAAGTACATTCTGGTCTCTTTAATAATGCATGGGAAAGTCCTAAACTTACCTAGGTACACAAGTCAAGTGGTGAATAGGTACATGAAGCCTTTAAGTCATCAATATGAAGAATTGGCTACTGCTTATCAAATGAATAGCTGCGAAGAGGTTCAAAAAATTATTAATAAATATCAACAACTTTTTACAAGAGATCACAATATGGGACTTGTAAAACAAGTGCTCAGCTTTTTGTACAAAAAGAATATACAGAGGTTGACAAAAACTTTTTTAACGCTTAGCTTAAGTGATGTGGCAAGCAGAGTACAACTATCAGGACCTGCTGATGCAGAAAAGTACATTCTGAATATGGTAAATGCATTTCTTTTAAGGTACAAATAGATACATAAAATATTAATGACTTTTGCTTATATAATTAGATCGAGGAAGGAGAGATCTTTGCAACAATTAATCAAAAGGACGGAATGGTAGTATTTCATGATGATCCGGAAAAATATAATTCACCACAAATGTTGGCAAAGCTAGAAAAGGAAATGGCAGCATGTATGGAATTAGATAAGCGAGTACTTGAAATGGAAGAGGAAGTTGTTCTTACTCCGCAATATGTTCGAAAAGCCTGTGGTCAAAATGATCAAGATGATCAGACAGCTGGACCTGCAACAACAAATGTAACAAATGTGCAAGGTCAATCTAAACATAATGCCTATTCCATGTAACATACACGTCGTTGTGCGTTATCTTTATTAAAAAACAGAAAACGAATGAAAAAATCTTGTTGAAAGTCAAGACACAAATGTTTAGAAGCCTGTTTTGGATGAATGCATAGGTTTCAAAATCCCATGGAATTCTATTCGTATTGAAAGCGAAAACCGACAAAAATCTATTAAAATGTTCAAAGTATCCATTTTGTAATACGTACATTTTTCTAAGATCTCCAAAACTGAAGGCTGATTAATAAATTGTAAATTATGCATGCCCATGAGTGAGTTACCAACTCAAGTATATTTTATTCTCTAAGTTTTATATTATTATTTTTTTGTACAGAATATATTATGCATGAAGAGTAAAACATTACATTATTTCCTTAATGATTTCTCAGCATCTAAAGCAGGCTTTACATATAATGCAAAAAAGCAGGAAAAATGTGTGGTATAGAATATTGTAATATTTAGTTAAAACTGTCACATCTCAATCATAAAAATTAAGTATGCAGTACAACAGTTCATACAATGGAGTTCTTAAAGAGGTATACAAAGTCAGATCTAAAATGACTTTGATACTATAGTAATATATGTACATATATTTGTCACAAAATAATGGTCGCAAATTTAATTGATTCATGAAAAGAAAAATGCTCAATGCACATTTGTGCCAGGTAAGTAAAGTACGCTTTTTACAGTAAAAATCACAAGTGATCTATTAATATACAAATTTAATATACAAGATAAATGTCCTACTGTACTTGTTTTATCTTAAATTTAGCAAAAGGAACATCTAAGATATACAATCTAGATTATTAAAAGCAAACACTTTATAATTTTAATCGCATCTAGTATGGATCAATCTGGAATGTATAGCAAAACCTTTTTTGTATAGCTAATGTTAACATCACTTTGTCTCCACGAAATAGTAGATAAATATCCAGTTCTAGCTCACAGTGTATATTTATTTTTAGTTTTAAGCGCTTCTTTTTTATACGTAATAATGACACAACAAAAATTTCAAGATAGTAATTTGTTTATGTCTATGAAAACCGTTTGAAATATTTCTTCCTTACTCTTTGATCCATCAATGAATGTCACTGTTTTACATAAATCTTTGTCTTTTGTTAATTCGTTTACATATTTTAAATATTCGGGCCACACAACCTTTTCAAAATACCCAGGAACATCTGGTGGATCGTAACGTCTATCCTTTCTTCTTTCCCAGCATTGATCTCTGGTTAATGTTAAAAAATATTTTTTATCGCACAAGTTTGAAATAACCTTACATTTGAAGAGCAAGAAACCATCTAATATTAAAATGTTCTTGTCATTCGTTTCTGTAGAGTTACTTTCATGCGGCGATGATTCAAGTAATTTAAAAATATCCGATCGCATTTTATCCATATCCAAACTGGTTATGATTTCCCAATTATTGTGATTAAGTTCTGGTATTTTTATATGTCGAGGATCATCTATTGGCAAGAAATAGTGATCTTGATGTATAATAACAGAATTTTTCAACTCCTTCTGAAGTCGATTAATTAGAGAGGTTTTTCCACTGCATGTTGCACCAGAAATACCAAGTATAATCCATTTCTTTGAAGACATTTTAAGTTTCTTGTTATTAGACTTTTATATGATAACACAGATCTAAATTAACCTACAGTTCAATCAGTTGGTGTAAGTAATGTAGTGTACAGTTATATAAGTCACCTCTACAATTGTTGAATTAAAGAGGTATATAAAGTGTTTATTACAGAGTGTACATGTATTCTATAGGCAGCTTTTTCAGTATATTTTATGAAAAGATCTATAATTCATGAAGTTTATTTAATTTATCATATGAGAAGTATGGTTTTACATGGTAAATGGTGAACAATATTAATCCACCAATAAAACATAAGCCTGAAATTGCAGGTATCATTAGAGCTAAGTCTGGAGAACCAAAAAGTAATCGTATTTTGCTATCATCAATAAATGGTAAAGCAATTATCCATATAGTGTAATACAGAAATAAAATTAATGTCACTAGTAGTATGACCTTACCTGTCTCACTGTCTGTATTAAGCATCTCAATGCATTGATTAATAATACATTAAAAAAAATACACATACAAAAATCTACGGATTCTATGCAAAAAAGGAATAATAGTCTTACACTTATGTGTTTCTACTTATTTTATATGTAAAATTTAAAGTATTCGAATTGGTTGAAAGATTTCTATCTTCCATGCGGTACAAGGAGAATATTTTAAGTTAATGATCAATGTATTCTTGTTCAAACTTTTTGAAATCTTCTTCTGTAAATGCAGTAGCTTCAGGTTCTTTAGGTTTCTGTTTCTTAGAAATATATTTCTTTTTCGTTGCACGATTCAAAAACTATAAACAGGTTATTAGATAGTATAATTTTATGTAAAAATTAATTTAAGTATCTCTAAATATTTAGTACCTTTTCTGCTGTATTTGATTCAATACGATTAGTACTAAGCATTAGAAGTTTTTCCACGTTTTCATCAGTAGGATCTTTCAGCCCTGTTATTTTCTTCTTAGTTTCGTAAACGGTTATTTTACTTGATCTTCCAAGAATTGTACCAAGATCTAAAAACATTAAGTTTATTGGTCATTAAACATTCTAAAGTACAGCTTTTTTGTTAAAGTTATACCTGTTTTATCGTCTTTTGATAATATCCTATGTTTTGGTGGGATTAGATCCAAAGTTCCTTTATATTTGACGTGTTTCCTTTTTTTCTTCTCTGTAAAGTAAGAAATAGGTACTTTTGAGCACAAATCTGTAATTTGTATATATAAAATACAAACCTTGTTTCAAATTTTCCTCATGGCCAAGTATTTCAAGTCCTTTTCGAACAAGTAAATTTGACATTTTTTATTAGACATTAATTCGTAAAAATTGGAAAAATCGTAAACAAAAGGTACTGTGCTACACGATGCTCCAGAAAACTATGTTCTGTGTTATTAAATGTGTATGCGCACAAACGCCATCTATATTAGACAGCCCTTGCTGAATTCGCTGGAAAATTAGAATACACCTGTATATAGCTATTTGATGATATTTCTAACAATTTATATATACGTTATGTATTTTTAATGTATAATGATGTACATTTTTTCAAAATCTCTTAGAAGTAAATTTTGAACACTTTTAGCAGTAATTAGAACAACTTGTCAAGAACATTACTGCAGTGTATTCTAGATTGCTTTATAAAATTTTAATTATAATTGATTAGTTATAAGTTATAGTTATAAGTTCAAAAATAAAAATGTGTTTCTTATCAAACTGTGATTTATTAAAATTTTAATTTTAATCATAAACTTATTATTTTAAACGTACAAAAATATTGAATGGTGATAGTTTTGTAGTTTCTTCGAATGTAGTTTCAGTTGTTAGTTGTCAAACAGTCTTAATGATAACTGTAAGTAGTTAATCTTAGGAGAGTTAATTTAACATTTCCGAAATCTATAGTAAAATTTCTTGGAACGTCAAAATGCATGACGCTTACGAACAAACGTCAATATTAAATATTTCCGTTCAAATAGAATCTATAGCTGCTTACGGTAGGTGATTTATAACCTTCATAATAAAAGTCTCATTAATTCGTACAATAATTTAAGTCATAATTGTTTATAATATAGTGAAATATATTATGTAAAACTGATATATTTCAGATGACAATTTATTAATTGGTACAAGAGAAGGTCATGTTCTTATGTATAATGTTCCTTCCATAACAGACGATAGTCATAAATTAGAATTATTGCGCCATAGTAAAAACTTCAACAAAAAACGCATCACACAAATTGATGTTGTGCCAGAATATAATTTATTAATAATCTTAACAGGTAATTGTATATTTATTTTTTAAGTTTGTAAGCATTCAATAAATTATTTCATTAATTCTAATTACAGATAATATTCTTTGCGTGCACGATTTGAATTCTCCTAATTTTCAACAAGTTTGCCAGTTACAAAAAACTCGTGGTGCTACATTATTTACTTTAGATGTACAAACTACTCAGAGTTTAACTGGAGAAAAAAATACATTTGTACGTTTGTGTGTTGCTGTGAAACGTAAGCTGCAATTATATTATTGGAAAGCAAAGAAATTTGAGGAATTCAAAGATTTTGAATTAACCATACCAGATATACCACGTGAATTATCTTGGTATATATCATCTTTATAACGTTCAACGAGTAATATGTTAGATACAACAAAGTACAATATGGACTAATTTTAATATAGGTGTGGAGATTCCCTAATTTTGGGTTTTCGTGGTTTGTCATACACAATATTGGACTTAAATGGAAAATCTAAAGAATTATTTCCAACTGGAAAGTCACCTGAACCAAGTGTTACAAAATTGTCTGATAATTCGTTTGTATTAGGAAAAGATTCTCAGTCGTTTATTATGGATACGAAGGGTGAATTAATTCAACATAGTTCAGTAAAATGGTCTGATACACCAAGTGCAATAGGTATACAATTTTACATGATTATGGTTTATTTGTTAATTCAAAAAAAAAGAATGATGTATTTTAGTTTCACAAAGATTAAATTATTTTAGCTTGGGATGATCCTTATTTACTTGGAATTGTGCATGACAGATTAGAAGTATATACCATAGAGGACTGTGTACATATTCAAACAATAAAAGACTTAAATAAAGCCAGACTTATATATAGATGTAAGCAGGGAAAGGTTTTCGTAGCATCAATTAGTCATATTTGGTGCGTAAGAGCTGTTGATGTGTCACTTCAAATTAGAACATTACTTCAACAAGAACAGTTTCAGCTGGCGCTGAAATTAACCGTATGTAAACAATATTTTTAATTTCATAAAAAAAGCAGTTTATAAGTAATTCATGTACTGGAAAAAATAATTTCTATATTATTTCAGAGTTTATCTGACATAACTGAAGAAGAAAAAATTAAACAAACATACAAAATACAAACGTTATATGCGCATCATCTATTTGCTAATAAAAGATTTCAAGAAGCAATGGACTTATTTTTGAAATTAGGAACAGATCCATATGAAGTGATTACACTGTTCCCTGATTTAGTTATTTCATCGAGCAATAGTTCTGAACACAATGAACCAACACCAAGTTTGCCTAAATTACAAGATCATGATTTAGAGAAAGGTCTGCGTGCGTTAATAGTATTCCTTACAGAAGTCAGACATAAATTAATGGGCGATGCACAGGCAAAAGATAAAGATAATAATAAAGAGAAGTCTTTGATTAAAGGCGAAAAGAATATGACAGCAGTAGCTACTGAACAGCTTTTAAAAATTATAGATACAACTCTTTTGAAATGTTATTTGCAGACTACTGATGCGTTAGTGGCACCGTTGCTTAGGCTAAATCATTGTCATTTGGCAGAGGCTGAAAGAACATTGCTAATGCACCAGAAGTATCCTGAGCTTATTATATTGTATCAAACTAAAGGGCAACATAGAAAAGCATTGGAACTTCTTGAAAAACATGCAAAAGAAAATGATCCTAGTCTTAAGGGAACTGAAAGAACAATTTTATATTTGCAACATCTGGGTAAAGATCATATGGATTTAATTTTAAAGTTTGCTGGTTGGGTTTTGAATGAAGATCCAGAACAAGGACTTAGAATATTCATGGAAGACATACAGGTAATATTTGCAATAAATGTCTACAATACACTGTTTTATGTCAATTGTAACATTTATTAATATTATAGGAAGTTGAGCAGTTACCGAGACCAAAGGTATTGGATTATCTTCTTCGTTGTCACGCAGATTTAGTTATAACATATTTGGAACATGTGGTAAATATTTGGGAAGATACTAATCCACTGTACCATAATGTTCTAATACATCAGTATAAAGAGAAATATTTAACGTCTTTGAACGATGCCAAGACTCCTGGTGAAAAAGAAGCAGCGCAGCATATTAGGCAAAAACTAAAACAATTCTTGGAGAAATCAAAGCATTACACCCCAGAAACAATATTAGTCCATTTTCCATTTAATAATTTGTTCGAGGAACGAGCTATCATTCTCGGACGACTTGGTCGTCATCAACAAGTTATATCAATATATATTAATCTTCTTAATGACATTCCAAAGGCTATTGAGTATTGTCAGAATGTATACACTAAATATCAAAGTAGGTATGAATTTGTGTATCAAGAATTTACTTGGACTTTTATACAATCCACCTTTGTCGTTTTAAGGCCTAAGTAATGCAGAGAAACAAAAACAGACTGATGGCGCAGAGGAGATTTATTTGATACTTATACAACAATTATTGAAACCCGATGACAAAGAAGTTTTAATGACAGGTAGAAATTACAAAGCGGTAGTCGGTAGTAAAATAATAAAAAATCACGCAGTATTATAATCCCTTAGGATGTAGTCCAGAACTTCAACGAACGGCACAACCTGATTTGGAAATGGCGTTACAGTTGCTAGAGAAACACGCATCAAAAATAAACCCGTTGAAAGCGTTAGACGTTCTGCCCGATACAGTTCCTATAGGTAGAATAAAGCATTTCTTGGAAGTCAGTTTACAGGAGAAACTGAATAATAGAAGGAGGATGCAGGTATTAAAAGGATTGCTCTATGCAGAACACTTGCAAGTGCAAGAACAACGTATGCATTACGAATCGCAGAGTGTTCTTATGACAGAATTTAATATATGCCCAGTATGTAAGAAGAGATTCAGTAATCAGAGGTTCGTATTTATTAATCGGCGTTTTTATTAATCAACTCTTATTGTGTAATTAACGTATAACCTAAATTATTTTGCAGTGCATTTGCCAGATATCCGAACGGCGACATTGTACATTATTCGTGTCAAGATCGTAAAAGTTAAAGAGAGAAATAAATAAAATTTATTTGTACTAAACGATATAAAATGTACACTGCGATGTATTTCTGCTCATATTATGTATATAAATGTACACATTTTCCATTTGCCTTCCTTTCACTGTGATCTATTTTTAAGATTATTTTTAATCGTATAATATACATAAATCTATAATTTGTAATATTATTTCCTTTAGAAGAAAATGGAAGAAAATTTTAGGAAAAAATAGTGTAAAGTATTACGGCTGACATTTTATTTATATTATTAAAAATATGTGTGCGTATATATATACAGGTACGTATGTATGTATGTATGTATATATATATGTATATGCACATATTTTTTGTCCTGTATAATATGGCATATAAATTTATCAAACAATGATAAAAAGAATAAAGTTTAGTAGTTCTAAAATTAAACAATTAAAAAAGACAATTTTAATAAGAAAAGAAATTATTGATGACAGTTGGTACTACAATAAAATGACAGTCGGTATGCTTTGGTACATGTGTTTTTCAATGATTTTGTATATCAAATGCTTTTGCACATTTGTTTTCGTTTCAATGTACACAAGCTACATTTCTGTTCAGTATAAATTAATTGGTTTTTTAAGTTTTCGTAATAAGGTGTAACGGGGAGGTTGGGGCGTGCCCGGTCCAGAATATGGGTAAACGGGACTAGTGATGTCATAAGCTATCATGTATTCCTACGCCGGCTGTTATAACGCAGGTACAGTACTGAAACAAATATAGCTTAAATCTTGTATTTGAATTTTTAAGTGTTACTAATTAGTGTTCCCAATGTTAATTTCTTCGATTCCTATATTAAACTCTTTTTAATAAATGTAATGATCAAATCATTACAAATTACATGTCGCGTAACTCAGTTAAAAATAGTTGTTTTTGATCAGATAAATTGAAATTTGTATATCGTTTGTAACGATAAAGTAAAATTTTAATTGTGTCTTCGTTAATGTCTTAAAATTGAAATTCAATGTAAGAAATTATTAATTAAAAAAAATACAACAAGTAATAAATTAAGAAAAAAATATTTTACGTTACAAAAACAAATCCTTGATCGTAAAACATAAAATATCCAATTTTAATTAGGATCTAATAATTTTGCTACAAATTAGAAGAATGTCTAATAAATTGCAAAACTATCTTCAGCCAGATCACCTTTGGAATGCTTGAATGTACGTAAAAACTTGCATCATAATTCCATAAGCGTTGCGTTCTTTACATTAGAATAGAAAATTTCTATTATATTAGAAATTTAAAATATATAAGCCCTCCTGAAAGATAATATAATCACAATAGACTGTTCCTCGTATTCCCGTTCAGATTACAATAAATGTATGATTTGTGGAAATTTATATATTTTTGCATTATGTATTTCGAATTCATTTTTGTCCAACACTGTCATTCCGTACATTTCTATAAATACTACGATCTAATACAAACATTCATAGTCCAGTAATTACATTCAAAGTACCCGTAATTTTTCAATATCAGAAGTACAGAGCAGTCAAGGAACCTGTCATAAATTTTCCAACATAGATCGCAAGACTACATTTATTGAATTTCGATTGACATTTATGGTAATATGCGCAAGTCAATTTATTAAACAATTACCATACGCGAGACCGCCTTTACATTTTGAATCTCCGCGAAACAAGAAATTCGAAATGGCTCATTTCGACCACTGTCTTAAGAGTTCTAGCGTTAAATAACATCGTTTTAAATTTCACCTAGCTGTAGGCTCTACGAATAACAGGTATTCGTAATGTCACGCGCGTTTTCCATTGGTGGGCGAGGACTGGGACTAGCTACGCTGGCGTAGGTCGACGCCGTATGCGCTCAGTCGGTTGCGCGCCGGTCGGCTGTGTGGATGGGTTTGTGTGGATCGTTAATCGGTGGTTTTTGGTGTACATCGACAGGTTTTTATGCGAGTACTCGGATAAAACGGTGTCGCGGGCTATCCTTACGAGAAGGTAAGTGAAGAGTTTTGTTCGGTTTCATTTCGAAAACGCGATTGATCTTGCGTTTCATGGTCGGCTGTCTCGTGACGGCTAACACTGCGGAGATAAAAATGGCGTGTGCCGCCTTTAGCTTCCCCGATTTCTCTCCACTGCAAGTTCTTTATTAAGCGTGTCCCGATTCGCGGCTGTGACAGTACACGAATTGTCTGCTCACGTTCCAGCGAGCTGACGATACCGTTCGTCATTTATTCTGAACAGTTTCACCGGAACGATCGCTATCTACGAGTGGCGGCATCGATTCCAACGGCGAACCTGCCCACTCTACGATCAAATAAACCCGTTCCTCTTTTTTTGCATGTCGCCTCGGTGACACGGTTGCTCGTAATGTTTTTCTTTTTGCGTAACCGGCAAGAAGCAGGCACGCGTCGAACGTGTACGCGTCCCGTTCGATCATTCTCGTTTTCATCCTGAAATAAAATCGCAAACGCCGTACTGTATGTACCGCTCGCTCGCCTCGGCGCGTTCATTTGTAAGCACCTTTAATTTCCGCTACACGGTGTTCCATGAATGGTTTTGTTCACCTGTCAAGACGCCCTATCTGTTGCTGACCTAATTCCTCTTCCCACTGAAAAGTCCGTCAGGCATTGTGGCGATGTCGACCGCGATCGGTCCACCGAGTGTTTCTTTCACCGTTGACCTGCAAAATTCTCACGAATATCCTGCTCGAACTTGCGACAAGAATTCTGGGAGGGAAATATTACATGAGAACACGTCATTACCCGACTGATGTCTTATCTTACCTCGAGAAATCTCCCCGATTATATTTTCCCTGTGAAGAATTCGGTACGTGGAAAACGGTGTGTTACGACAGATAATGTAATCGCTTACGTCTCGTTTATTTTGATAAACACGGGGCATTTAATTCGGTTCGTTGATCGTCACGGCCAAAATAAACTGCCAGGCACCGCGGTTTTTTAGATGGTTTCGGACATGTCACGGAAGGTGTAGCCCGCGAACGTACATCTGTGCAACGGTACGCTCATACGATAATCATTATTTATATTTATCCTCCGTCGGGACGAATTAATAATGCCGACCTAATCGGGCGGCTTCGTTGTTTAATCGGTGACGCTGTTATAAATTGACACGGCTCGTTTTGCACCGAATGGTTTCGTCACGGCACCGAATTCGCTGCTGAGTCATTATTGAAAACCTTTGAATCGCTCCTGAAGTGTCAGAAACGTGTGTACAGACCTTAATGTCCGAGGAAACCGTTATTTTGTCGATGCTCAGAAGCGTACTTCCTCGCCATCGTATGTTACCAGAAAAAAAAGGATATTTTTTTATATGTAGTTACTGTTTGTAATTTTATATCGTTCTAACAGTCGTGGAATGTGTTCGTTTGATACGTGAAATTCGAATGTTCGTATACGTGACGTTACATGGAAAATAAGGGGATCGTTTAATCAAGCTCTTTTCGATCAAGCAAGCTCCTCTTAGTGTTGTGTTTACAGTTACGTCACCGTTGCCGGGTTTGGGCGTGTGCGCGTCTTCTTCAGCATAAATTAATAAATTAGTGTCGCACCGATCGCCACTTCCGGATCTCAGTTTCGGCGACGTCTGGCCAAGTGATCGCACCGGAACCACTTCCTGATGTTAACGTACTGACTCGGCGAAGGCTGGGTCACTCGAGACCCGACATTTCGATTTCGGAAGTTTTCGAGGCGACAGACGCACGCCGCGTGTCCTGTCAGACTTAAATTTAGGACCACAGTCGCGCGTAACGTGTCATCTACATAAGTGGCGGCGTCAATTAAGCGTACTTCCTTTCCGAAGCAGGAAAAGAGCGGGAATATTTAAATTTAAAGAGAAGTCTTTTTCATTCGAAAGGAAGATGATCTTTAACACTAGAACTGCCGAGCAGTTGAACTGATTTTTAAACATTCTTTTACAGTAACCGTAGAATTTTGTTGCTTAAGATGTCGGTTAAGTTATATTTTAATTTGTATATTAATAAATCAACTATTTTAATGATTTCTTGAAGAAGCATTTATATGCTTTCAATTCTTATGAAAGAATAAATGAGGAATGGGTTATTTTGACTGATCCGGTAGTTTTAGTGTTAAAAAGAAAAGTTATTCAGTAATTACCTTCGATTTACTTTGTACTAGGAAATGACAAGCAGTTACCGGGTAATACCACAATACTCCAGTCTAAAAATACCTGCGGGTCGTTTTTAACTCTTCTGCTCTGATTAACTTGCCTGCACTTTTATGCCTGTACAGGGAAACGATATTGTAATATAAAAAATTGCGTACTGCGGGAACGTTATGTGGACATTGAACTACGCCTGTCAATTTTTTAACTTTTCTATCTTTTCGGAAAGCGAATTGCAAGTAATTCTAACGTTACAGTCATGCAACTGCAACGAATTATTTCGAATAAAACTTGAGGAACGTTCATTGGCACGAACTGATTAAGAACAATGTGTATTCAAAATTATGTAATACATTGTTCCTTGTAAATTTGCTTCGTATAATTTCGTACGATCCTTTTCGTTATTCCCGTTTCTTCAGTTGTTCATGACACGAAGTTCGTAAAACTGTAACTGGTACGAATTTGATTTCATCATTTGCATAATGCTCGTGCAACTTCCGGCGCCTTGACTTTCCTTTTTTACCGAGAGAAACAAGTCTTTTCGGAGGCATCGTTATTAGTCACGTTCCAGTTTATCGATATCTAGTACTCGTCCAATTAATGGGCACTAACCGCCTCATGTTAAACGGATACAAGCGAAGCCAGTGTTCGTTGAACCGGAAATACGGTCGACGTTTCAAACTATTCCATTTTTTCCCCTCTAATTTTACGACTATAATACAACGAAAGGACAACAAAGAACAATTACCAGTAAATGCGTACATTATTGAAATTAAATCTTCTTTGAAGAACAATAATATTTTCTATCAAACTCAATTGAAATTCACAAATTATTCACAAACTTTGGGACCAGTTACGTATCAGGTACAAGGAATGCTATAAAACAATAGAAAGAGACGTTTCGAGTCATAGTTGTCGTATGCCGATCAGATTCTCGCAAGTCTTTAGTTCTTTTTCCATTTGTCGGCGCGACGCGATCACGATGAATCACGGCCAGTATATTTATACGTCAGAAACTTTTCATTTTATCGGGGTAAAATTATACGCGGCCAAATTCATCGGATTCCCCGCGGTTCGTTCTTTAACTCGAGAGAACTTTGTTCGCGCTTGGTTTACATAGTAACCTGAACTAGCGATAAATCAGCGAGAAATGTGTTAACCCTGTTTATCGATTGAGACGATCAACGAGTTTCTCAGGGGGGAATCCCCTGATCCAAAGATTCGTAACTCGATCAAATTTTCGCGTATTTGTAGAGCGTAACAAAGCCGAGTTGGATGGTTAAAAAGATTGGATTTTTGTTCCGTTTGTTCCAAAGATGATTCCAAATGGGTCCAGTGTGTGGATTTTCCGTGTTCCAAAAATAATCTCCGCGTATGCATCCTAGTTCTGTGCCACGATGTGTATATACTCGGCTTGCCGTGTGGCGGCAGCTCGAGTTTTCGTTCCCCCGGGTTCCTACTGCATGTGTTGTGTGTGTGTATGTGCGTGTGTGCAGTGTGTAGCACGTTACGCGAATTTTAGGGAAATCGTGCTCGTAACCGTTGGAGATGATTGGAACGACAAACGGCGACAACGGGCCGAGCGAACCCGTTGTCCAAGTAAATGACGGAGGTAACCAAGTCGGCCGACTGCAGATTAACGTTAAATGCGGACGTGACGTATTACACGCACACTAACCGTTTGCTCTATGCACGAACCGTCACCTCCATAATACCCACGATCGACCTTTTTTTTCGGCCTTCGTACACCGGCCTCCACCTCTTTATCACCTCGACCGCCATTATCCGTCGCGTTCCGCGAAAACCGTTGCCCGTTTGTTCCTTTTTCCCCCCGAATTCCCTAGAACAACACCCGTTGTACATTTCTAGGGGATCACTAGACGTGGGAACAGGTGCACCCCACGAACAGTAATCGTCCACGAAATGATCGTTGACACGATTTCATGGTACAAAATACTTGAAATGAAAAAAATATAATATTAAATCATTTGATTGAATTGCATTGTTATTATTGCAGGTTCATCTAGCTGAATGTCACCATATTAGTTAGCATTATTTACAATATAGAAATGCTTTCAAATAATCATGGTTTAATTGAATGAACTATAGTAATTCGATTTGGTTGGGGGTCACCGGTGACCCCCATGGTATTTAACGTGTTAATGCTTGATCCTCGGATACCAGGTGGTTCACGCATTAACACTAGAACTATCGAGTACTTAAACTGACTTTTGAAAATTTCTTCGTGAGCCACAAATGTATATTTACTAAGATTTCAAGGAGCTTATATATCGATTTAGGCATTACTAAATCAGTTTCCACAATAATTTCTGGAACAAGTATCTGTGTTCCAATAATCCTAAAAGAAAAAGTCGGGAATGGGTCATTTTGATCCATCTGGTAGTTCTAGTGTTAAATTTCTATAAAATTTCATCAAAAACATTCTCTTGACGGGAACGATCGAAGAACATTCGATCGTACTTGAAGCGTGAATCGAACCTAAGGTGAGCGCATTTTCCAGAGATTGAACCCGTGTTATTTCGCCGTTATGTTTAGTTATCGCACAAGTAATCGGGTCAACCATTATCTCTCGTTCGACCGGAGATAAAAAGGAAGCCGAATGTCGTCAGATTTTCGCGTCTCTGTTTTTTTGTGGACATACTTGGCGATCGTGGAAAAATTACAGATGTCTACCACCGGTGACCGTCGCGAAAACAGTGCCACGTTCAACGTCGGTCACTGGTGACTGCCACACGGGCGATCGGTACTCGTTTGTTGGTAATTTCGCCGCCGGTCACCGGTGACCGTCGCCCCAGCGGACACGTCGCAGCTTCAACGGACCCGGAAGACGGATT